CCCAGAGCGTAAGAAGTGTAGAAGAGCGTTCGTGCAGACCACTACGAGTACATACAAGAAATGTGTCATTAGAGCATTCAAGGAACTGTATTTATACATATTTTTACACAGTATGATTGGTATTTTCTGGAAGTTTAGGACGTATAATTCTTTATATGAAAAGGGCGATACATCTCTTGCAGAAATATGTCTCAAACTGAGCTTTTAAACAGTATGTATTCCATCTAGAAGTCAAACATATGTACTGAACTCAAAAAGTTGTTTCCTTGTAGTTCTATGTACTTGAATATCTCCGAATGGCATCTAGTTTCACGTGACTGTGCGCAAATAAATTCAGTTTAGTACGTGGAGTTCTGTTATCTTATGCATGTTTATATCTGTTTCCTCGTAATAGTTCTTGGGTTAAGCAGTTTGTGAGTGACTGAATGTGCTGTGCCAGTGCATATTGGCTGAATTCTGAAAAAGGATAAATTTAAGTGTCCGTTTCTTTCACGTGCACTACTGTCCTCTAGTGCAGAATTTTCGGTGTTGTCACAATGAGAGAGAGAAGACTTAGCGAGAGAGAAGGGCGCTTGCTGGATGACGATGTTGAAAGTAGCAGCTCCAGCGACGGACCCGCAGATTGTAACTGGGTGGTTTTGACCGCCATTTTTATTATTCAGGTATGTGCCTCTTATAGCGAATAACAAAGTTGTCCCAATGTCAAAGACCGAAAGCTATGGGTTTAAATCTCCAAGAATCATCAACCTCCAGTTTAATAATTAATTACTTTCTGCTCTGACTGTCTTAATCCCGAAGACAGGGTGATTCGGTATTTATGGGAGTTTTCTTTCTCTCTCCCCTCGCTCCCACTTTGGGGCACAGGGTTGATTTATCACTTTCATGATCATTTTTTACAGACGGGAGATCAGATCGTCACAAGGCCTCTACCTAAACACAGAAGAACACAGACACAGAATAAACGCATACACACACCAAACATCCGTGGCTTGTGTGGGTTTCGAAACCACGATCCCATCTTCCGAGCGAGCGAAGACATAACATGCCTTAGACCACTCGGCTACCGTGGCCGGTATTTATGGGATAGGAGGTTGGATTACCCCAGATGATTTCATATGCTGAATTATTTATGTGCCATGCCAGGAATGACGTATAGGAGAGTAGAGACAGATTTCCTACCTATCTAAACCTTCGGCACTAGATGAAGGTGAGACAGGCTACTGCAGGCTCATTCTAAACATAATGGTAAATGAGAACTTTCTTAAATGTTCCCGTCGTAGCCACTTCGGTCTGCTTCAATGACTCAACTTCCCTGTAACAAGGCGCAACCATACACAAGGAATCCATTGTTCCATACATTACTCGTGTCACTTAGAGAGGTTATATAGCGTCAGATGAGATGGGGAGGAGCCCGCGAATTTTGAGTAGCTGTAGATTTGGAAGGAGATAATCTCGACTTAGTAAAGACAATATCCTTGCATTACTGTACTGAAACAGCCCGCCACTAGCCCATATCGTGGGCTAGATGAATTCTCTCTGCATCATCAAACATTATTTCTCTTAAGCACAATAGACCACTGTAGATCGCGGTGCAAGGACCAAGAAGGCCCATTCCTTTCACATTAATTCATTCATTATTTCTCTTACATTAATTTTAATATTCTCTCATTGATGCCCTGATCTACAAAACTAATCTCCCTTTCTGGTCTCTTGACTGAAATTTTGTATGCATTTCTAATCTTTCAGATTTTGCACAACGTACCCCATGCACCGCATCCTCGATTCCAACTCCCCAATAATATTTTGTCAAGGGCGGGCTTACAAATTAAGAAGCTATTCGTTGTACAATGTTTTAAGCTGTTGTGCGCCACTTCTTGATTGTATCTTGGATTCTTTTATCGTCGTTTACAGATATTTTCACATTTATGAATTTTTGAAGACTTTGTTAGTTATTTTACGACGCGCCATAGCTCAAGCGGTTAGTCGCTGGCTTCCCACCGCGGCGGCCCGGGTTCGATCCCGGTCTGTTCAAGTGGGATTTGTAGTGGACAAAGTGGCGCTGGTGCAGGTTTTCTCCGAGTACTTCGGTTTCCCCTGCCAATCTTCATTCCACCAATTGTTCCACAATCACCCTCACCTATCATCTGGGGCTGGCACAATAGGCCAGAAGTGGCCGCAGTACAAGGGACTTAGTCCGACCCCGATAGCAATTAAAAAAATTAGATATTTTACATTATGGCATTGTATTATATTCTACCGGCGAAACATGAACATACAGTTTCTTCTCCCCATCAACGTCCTCAGTAGCGTCTGGTACGAAATAGTAGAATTTTTATTAGAAAATCTCACGTAGTCATCCAGAATATTTTAACAGTTCTCATATATGTATTTATATTCCTGTTCCAACATAGGATTTTGTCTTTCTTTGTGTGCAGTTGCATTCATTCTTAACAATTCCCGTTTATTTTCAGTTGGTAGTCTCTGGTGTGCTGGCTTCTTATGGCGTGCTCTTAGTAAGCCTGGTTGAAGAAACAGAGGTGTCACTCCGAGAAGCCCTATGGACACCAGTTACCTACGTTGTGACGTGTTGCTTGGCAAGTAAGACAAATTTCTACGCTCTGCTTGCAACCTGCTTCGCACTGGTTTTTTACTTGACTTATTCTTCGACACTGAAGATGGCGGCAATATATTCTTCTCAAACGTTAGTTGACTTTCGGAGGTCTGCAAGGCGTTATATCCCAGAAGATAGAACTCTTCATGTATTGTTTTTCTTGAGGCATTTTAATAAGAGGCATATTAGAGAAACGCAAAAACTAATATTTGTTTATGTAGTTCCTCGCCTCTGTGGTCTAACGGTCGGCGTTCAGATCCAGAGGTCCGGGTTCTATTCCCGGCGCTACGAGATTATTTCTGAGAAGTAGTGGGTCTGGAAAGGGGTGCACAGACTCGTGATAATAGTTGAGGAACTATTTCAAGGAAATAGCGACTCGGGTCTAGAAAACCGAAATTAACGGCCGTGGGGATTCGTTGCGCTGACCACGCGGCACCATCTATCCGCTAAAGTTAGCACTAACTTCGCCGACAAGCTGCAGTCGCTTGGTCTGTATAGTTCGCTTGCGGACTAAAATCACGGAGTTTCTTTATTTTAGTTCCTCTCAGAATATACTGCGTAGAACAGTAAGCTGATTATATGCTGATAATTTAAAAAGACATGTAAGGAAGCTGCTATCATCTAATTAGAGGTACACTGTCTTGATTGAGATCGGTCACGCTAGCCGAGAGGTCTGAGGCATGTCTTTGCTCGCTTGAAAGCCGAGATCGTGAGTTCGAATCCCACTCAGGGCATGGATATTTGGTGTTTGTGTATGTGCGTTTTTCTGCGTCTGTGTACAGGTAGCGAAAGGTAGAGATCTTGCGACGAGCTGATCTCCCGCCCAAGGAGTCTTACCGAACGTCTAAGACCTAGTAAACCGAAGTGAAAAGGAGAATTTCATGGAGGTAGGCCAAGGCCCAAATTAGGGCTGTAGCGCCAAAGGGGAAAAAATATCCAGATTGAGGGACTGATGAAATCTTTAGTTAGAATAGCGTGTGTCTGCTCCGAGATTCAAACCAATCATCTACCGAATGAAAGTCAGAATAGTTACCGCTTATACAAGAAAATGAGCCCTACAGTTCTACCCTTTTTTACTTCGGCAGTAGCAATATTTATGATGGTAAGGTTATGGACTACGAGCTTTACAACTGAGGAATCGGGGTTCGATTATTCAGTTTTGGGATCAAGAGATATTACCTCCGCCATAACACCGAGACCGTATCTAGGACCCACTCAGCCTCTTATCCGCTGGGTACCTAGGACTATAAAGGTATAAAGTGGCCACGGCGTCAGGCTTACCATTCACTCCCGAATCAGTGCTGAAGATATCAGTCCTTGCAGTTACACCTCCATTTTGTGGCCGCGCCATAGCTCAGGCGGTTAGTCGCTGGCTTTCCACCGCGGCTGCCCGGGTTCGATCCCGGGTCTGCTCAAGTGGGATTTGTGGTGGACAAAGTGACCCTGCTGCGGGTTTTTTTCCGAGTACTTCGGTTTCCCTTGCCAATCTTCATTCCGCCAAATTCTCCATCATCATAATCACCCGGGCCACGCTACAATTGGCCAATCAGTGGTCGCCGTGCCGAGTGGATCCAATTAGACTCCACCCCCCACTAAGAGAATTACAACTCCATTTACTCAAACGCTTTCATTGCGTGGTACCTAATTCAGCAGAGAACAACTTTTCTTTTTCATACTGTGCCTTAAAATTCCATCTACTCAACAAATCAGGGTACGGCACTCTTGAGTAGGCAACCTTACGGAAGGAAAATCTTGTTTATGTCAGAATTTCTAGCCGGCTTATGAATACCGGAAGTATGTCCATGATTTATTTCAACCGTCTTCCAGTGCATACACTCATCTATCTCCTCCTCTCTCTCGTACTACATGTTTCGGCACAAAAATGCCATCTTCAGGTGCTTATTCGATTTACGCTAAACTAGTTCATTGCATGCCTTGTCGTCTTCATATTAAAATAATTAAAATATATATTTATCATATATATTGATAAATATATATTTTAGTTATTTAGTTTAGCGTAAATCGAATAAGCACCTGAAGATGGCACTTTTGTGCCGAAACATGTAGTGCGAGAGAGAGGAGGAGATAGATGAGTGTATGCACTGGAAAACGGTTGAAATAAATCATGGACTTAAATTAGTGCAACAGGACGCTAAAATATAACATTACCGGAAGTATGTTTAAAATAAGATATAGTAACCTTCTAATGATGATCTAACGTAGTGGTTCTCAACATTTGTGAGACCGCGGGCCTGTAAATTCTTTTTTTTTTATAAAACGAGGGCTCGGCATACGAGCAACTGACGCCTGAACCCGGTGGGTGAGAAGCATTGATCTAATGGTCAAGTCACTAACTGCTAATGACGCAACCTTGTTCCCATAGAAACTTTTAGTTTTCTTTGCCCTTATTATATCTGCGTGTACAGTAAAGTAACATCAAGAACAATGAGAAATGCAGAACCGCAGAGAGCGCATTTAGAAACCCCCTGTTCTTCGAATGAAAGTACCTTTTCTTTATGATATCAAATTCGTACAGTGTGATATAGATTTGTAGGAACTGCATTCCAAGTAGTCCGCTCTCAACCTAAAATTTATTAATTTTGTGATACCTGTTTGCAGACCCACTATGCAAGAGACTGTCAGACAAGAAAAGGGGTCAAGGCTCCCGACTGCTTGCCAGCACTGGCATCTTGGTGGCTGCAGGAGGGATCGCCACCACAACACTTCTCCATACGTCGCGTCTGCAGATCCTAAGCTATGGCTTTCTAGGAGGTAAGAACAGTATCTTGCCCTTCACCAAATATGTTAGAACGATAAACCGAGAGTGTCATAGCACTGGATACATGACAAGTGTTAATGTACAGAATTTTAGTCCAAAAATCAACGTGGAGAAGAATGCCTGCGAGACCTATGATAGATGGGAGTTTAGTATTAAATTATATTCAGTAAAATATGATATAATGGACTGCAGTCATCTAATATAGGGACCAGTGACAGGCTTTTGTGAAAATTCAAGGATCTGTAAGGGGGGTGTATGGAATTTCTTGATCAGTGACTGACTCTCAAGAAGGACTTTGCTCGATGAAGATGGCAGCTATTCAGCCTAATGGCTGATATAATGCAACTCATATCAAGATGAGCATTTATGAGTGCGTTGAATAAGCATATGGAAGTTACCGTGAGGTTTGTTGTCTTTAAGGGCCGAATCATGACTATGAAAAATATTAAAATCTGCGGTGTGATGCCTGGTCTGATAGAAGTGTACTGACATTTCAGGATCAGAGATTAGGCCACATGAGCAAGCTACTGGAATGGCTTACCCTTTGACCTTGAAAATTAAACTAGTGTATTCCTACAAACCTACGACAAACGTTTACCAGACTACATACAATCACTTTCCAGGAGACACAGACCGCCTCTGTGGTCTAGTGGTCTATTGATCAGAGTTCCTGGCTACAGATCCAGAGATCTTGGGTCAGATTCCAGGAGATATCAGATTTTCTGAGAAGCGTTGGGTCTGGAACGGGGTCCACTCAGCCTCATGAGGATAATTGAGGACCAATTTCAAGGAAATGGCGGCTCCGGTCTGGAAAACCGAGATTAACGGCCGTGGGTATTCGTTGCTCTGGCCACGTGACACTCTCTATCCGCAAAAGTTGGAACTAACTTCTTCGACAAGCGGCGGTTGCTCGGTCGGTATAGTTTGCTTGCGGACTACAGACCACGGAATCTGATTTTATTTGTACTGTTCTCCACATGACTTACATTTAAATGAAGTATGTGTGTTCTTTCAGGTCTGGGCACGAGTTTGGTTCTAACACAAGTTGAGATCATCCTCCACTGTCACTATCCCTGGCGCAGTGCTGGACCGCCACTAGTTATACCCCAGCTGGGCAGTGCCCTGGCTCACTTTTCAATGCCACTGCTGTTGCTAGCCTTCATGTCGTTGTATGGATCACGACAGGCGCATTTACTGCAGGCTGGTCTAGTATTGCAGGGATTTCTTGGGGCAGTCACCATCAGCCCTCCAAAACAACGACTTCCACCCGTATCCCGGTATCATTCACGACCCAGAGCCTACACATTTGTAGAGAGTGAGGGTCTGCCTACTGCCAGGAGAGACATCAACATCAGTGACAGGTGAACCTTCACTGACTTTACTTTGCAGTCGGTCACTTCTTCTACTTTACCTCACAATAGTTAAGTACAGGGGAGCAGTTTTGAGATGTGGGGCAGGAGAAGGAAGGAAGAATGCATTATTATAGTGTCCATCTACATTAGACAAGTATAGTCCCAAATTATTCTAGACTTTTATGTCATTTCTACAAAATATTTACTTTGCGAAATAAATACGTATGTCTATATAACTGAACAACTACTTTATTAAGCCGAATTAAATGTTCAATTTTTGTATACTGTTGTGTAAGGGGCTATGGGGTAGCGTAGTTGGTTGAGGCGCTGTTCTACAAGCCGGAAGTTCGTGGGTTCCATTGCCGTTGAAGTCATTGGATTTTTTCAATTGACCTAATCCTGCCCTCCACACTATGGGGGTGGACTCAGCCTCTCACAAAATGAGTACCAGGAATATTCTGGGGAGTAGAGGATGGCCGGCACGTAAGGCTGACAACCTCACAGCCATCTGTGAGCAGATTGTCTAGAAAATGTGGGCGCCTCAAAGTCTCACAACCATATGGGCCTTCACGGCCTGTTCCAGGGCTAGCTTTACCTTTTGCTTACCTTATAATGTTGCATATGGATATTACTTAGGATTTGAATGACCATAAGCACAGCATATGTTGAACTAACACATACAATAATTGTTATTATTAAAAATTAGTTTATGTTTTGACCATTTTTAGTAACCTGATGATGATGACACTATACAAAATTGTACTAGTGAATTATCAAATTACTTTATAAAATCTGTATAGTAATTCCACATAAAATTATCCACGGAAATTATGGTAAGATTAAGTACGTGTATGTCACCACCTGGGGTCAGCTGTATATATTTTGTTACAGGTATTTGTATCATGGTTGGTTCGGTATAATTTTGTTCTATTTTCGAATTTAGGCACTGAAATGCCTAAAGTTTGGTACATTTAACAACATCCACATTCACTTCCTAAATCATGGTTGCTCAAACTGCAGGTCGTGATTCCAGTGTGAGTTGTTACCTGGTCTCAGGGGAGTCGTCATGTTCTCAAGAATTACCTAAAATATAGTTTATGCAGGTCAGTAAGATTTAATATAGGAACGTTTGGAAAATGAAGCTGCAGACCATGAAATATATCCTGAAAATTTTCAAGAATGTACAGGAAAATTTTATAGTGTACTGAAGGGATGGAGAGAACATAAAGCTATTTAAGTGTTTTAAGTGACTTTACAGTCTGAGAGGAACCTGCAATAACATGCATAACTACACTTCTCACTGACCAGCTGAGAGGAGGGGGGGTAGCATAAATGTATGTATTACTGTGGGGGGTCTGCAATATGACAAAGCTGAAGAGGCTGTAGAAAGTACAGCTCACAGTGTATGGGGTGATATGTGTACAAGGAGATTCATCTGGCTCATGATATTCTTGAGTTCATAGTAATAATCCTTTGATAATAGATTTAGTCTTTACAATGTTAAACAAATTGTAATAATTTTTGGTTTGTATTGTCAACTATTGTTCTTTTAACAGTTGCACTGGAAGAAATTCACTGGCAAACATTACTTCTGGTAGCAGCTGGAGGAATTGTGCTTCTCGCAATGACAGCCCTCAACTTACAAATTATAGCAGTAAACAGCTTGTGATTTTGGAAAGCAACTCACGATGTAACAAGAAAGGGATTGATATCCTTCCTAAAATTCCGGAAGAATCTGAAGAGAGTTCTGACTCGGAGTTTACTGATACCCGTGAAAATGCAAGTGCAGTGAGTAACGATTTGATGCTCACAGACAATACATTGCACTATGGAGCAAGGAGTGTGGACAGTTTTTTAAATACTGATGAAATGAATATTAAATTAATTGACAATTGTATAGAAAATAAAAGATGGAGTATAGGTACAGTAGAAGAAATGGTGTCATTTTGTGTGGAAAATGGGTTGGCAAAATACAAGTCTATTTCAGACGATAACAACAACAATGACAACAACAACCGTGATAACGAAATTGAAGAGAACAAATCATTTAACAAAACTTTAGGAAGTTCTGGACTTGAGCTTGATAGACAAGCTATAAGAGGCACATTGAACGCTCTTCCTGTTAATAGTGCACTTTGGACGACAAACAGTTTGAATGTTGATAACACAGATGTAAGTGAATTTGGTTCTCTACAGAGCAATAGTATTGACATTCCAAACGTTCTTTGTGCTCAAAAAACTGATTGTGTGACAAGGAAAGTGAGAAGTTTGGAGAACATAGTACCTGTATGTGATAAGCTTAACTTAATAAATCAAAGTGATGCTTTCAAGGAAGTCATTCTCCTATCAAACATGAGCAGTGACTGCATCCCCCCTTCTGATAAACTAAGTAAAAGTGAGAACGAACTTACTACATATGTTCATAATATGAAAAAACCTCATGAGAACAAATGTGTTTTAAAGAGATCGAGCACAGGAAGCTTTGAACAAATGTTGTCAACGAATGGTACATCATTTTCGGTAGACGACCAACGAGGTCAGTCATCTGACAAGTATCAGAAATGTCACAGTACTGAGCAAAGAGACAGTAATCGGTCAATAGATTACATAGGCATCTCTGAAAACCTACAATCTAATGACTCATTTGCATTTCAAGCTCCAAAAGATCAAAGAAATACAAACACAAATATTACTAAAACTGTCAAACAGCATAATGAGGTCAATCAAATTGTATTGTCATCACTTGATTCAGTAGAGAGTGAAAACCCCCTTTGGACAGCAAAACTAATATCCTCAGAGACTACTGCTGTTGACAGTGCATCTGATAGTTATCAGGGATCAAACTCTCTGAGAAGGTGGTACAGATATCATTCATCATTGTCCCATGTTTTAAGAAGACTAACATTAAGCTGTAGTTGTCATATCAACCACTGCCACAATTCACAACGATACTTGCGGAAACATTTCATCTCACTGTACTGGAATATTCCAGAGGTCATCAGAATTCCTTACTTCTTCCCATCCCTTTTGCTACGGCTTACTCAGAGGATCTGTCCGATGGGGTTTGCAGCTCTAAGCCCTTTGCTAGCAAAAAGAATGATTGATGGGTGTACAAAGGAAGAAGCTGTGTTTTCTGTCTCGATATCTGGATTTGTCTGGTTGTGCTTCTTACTTGTAACTCCCTGGTGTTCCAAGATTCCTCCAAGCAAGCACAAATACCTGTTTGCAGCTGGGAACATACTTTCTGCCTATGGGCTTCATCGTAAGTATCAGTTTCACTACATAGCATGTAATTTAATAAGATATAGTGTTACTGTGTTCATCAGTTCAATGTTTAATTTCCAAAATTACAAAACTGAGTTTCATGAAACTTGGTGTTGTAGGGTCTATATTAAAATTTGCCATATGAGTTCAAAGGTATATTAATTTAACATAACCATAACGTGCATAAAACTGAAACATATTTACATATTTCTTTCATAGCTGCTCATTCTCAACAACAAAAAAAAAAACTGAAGTATAACAAAATATAAGAATCCTTTTGATTTATAATATTTATATAAATTGTTCACTGAGAATTTTGATTCAAGGAATTAGTAAGTAAAACAGAAATGTCCTTAAATTTATAACTCTTTATTTTAATTGCTCTTCAATGACATTGCTACATGGAATGAGTGAGGAAAACACAAATGTCCTATAGACCGGTAATTTTTCAATGTCTTTGCTGCATTGAATAAGTAAATAAGTTAGTTAGTTAAAACTTGATTATATTTAAAACATGCATGGCATCTAAAATAAGACATTGAACTGGTTTGCAAGAAACTTTGTAATGATAGTGAAACAGAGAAACTAAGGAAAAAATACATAATTGTTCTAGAATATTAACCAGATTATACTCCATAAAGAATTAAAGACTAAATAAAAATTCAAGACATTACACAAGTTCATAAACAAATGGACCTGCTTTTGTTGTAAATTATCAATTTCAAACACAATATAATTTTAATACTGGAGATAGAATGCAAATAGCAAAATGCCTTCTGTATTCTAGATAAAAGTATAAGGTACTATTACTGTTGTGATATAGGTGTGTTATATATTAAGAAATTAGATTTTATATGACTATATTAAGAGTCTTGGTGGTCTCTTGATCATGTATGTAATTTTATATGTTATTTTGATATATGGAATGTATTGTTATATTGAGTATTTAAAATTTTGACGATGATGACTATCTGATTATATATGTATATTCATATGTTATATTGTATTGCTGACTTGTTCTATATCTGAGGCAAACGCCTCCATGAATTTTGTAGAATTGTAAATATATGAATGAATGAAAAAATAAATGTAACTGAAGTACATCTCTCATTGTGTGACAGAAATTCTGTCATTTGCAATTTATCGACTAATTAAAAAATAGCTAAAAGACTCAGTACATAGGTAGCATTTATAGAGAACAGATTTGATATTCGCCTACCAGGCCCAGTACTTTGTCCTGCCTTGTTATAGTTATTTCCATTTAATATTCATGACTTGCTCATTTTTGTATTTATACAAATATTGCATAGGAGGAATTTACTACTCCTTCTTGATGGTAGAAGATCAAATACAACATGCAAAAAGAGCATTAATAAAGGGCAGAGAGGGAACTGAAACCAGGGGCTTGATGGAAACAATAAGACTAAGGAAAGGAGTAAAAGAATATGTGCCCTTAAAAGATGCCTTTTCAGAGGCCAAAATAATAGGAAGAAATAGTCGCTAAGTAAATCACATAGCAGGTGACAGCAATCTTCACAGCTACTGCTGGCAGGACCTCAAATGCCATAGTCTTGCTAAAGATAAGTACTTCTTAACAGTTCTACAGAATGCAGGTTCCTACAATGAGAAATACAACTTTAGAGTCAGCTGAGTATTTCTAACATATCATTTCTGGGATTAAAAATTGAAAATTTTTTAACATGGGAAAGTCATATTGATGCAGTAATTGATACGTTAAACAGATCCTATTGTGCAATCCGATCAGTTAAATCCTTTTTACCACTGGAGACATTAAAAATGATGTATTTTTCCTATGTACATTCTATAATAATGTATGGATTAATATTCTGGGGTAACTCCCCGCATAATATAAAAGTGTTTAGGATGCAGATAAGGATAATTAGGATTATAACAAATACAACAAAGAGAACATCGTGTCGTAGTTTGTTTCAAGAACTGGATATCCTCCCCCTACAAGCTCAATATATATTGTCGATCTCTCTGTTTGTCATAGTAAATAAGGAATTGTTCACATTCAACTCACAAATGCATAATTGTAGTACCAGATCTATCTGTGATCTGCATTATCCGCAAACTAGTCTGACACAATTCCAAAAAGGAATATGTTACATGGGGGTAAAGATCTTTAATCATTTGCCACCAAAAATCAAATCTATGTCTAATGACTTGAAAAATTTTAAAATTCAGTTGACAACATTTTTATTGCAAAACTCTTTTTATACATGTGATGAATTCTTTAGTAACAAATATGCTTAGAAATAAGGATAATAACATAAACAATTTTAATATTGCATAATTTTATGTATAGTGATATAAGACTGTTTTTTTGATATAAATTTAACACATTTTTTTTAATCTATTTTAATGATTATAAACTGTACATATATATTTATATTTGTATTGTACTATGTTAACTATGTGACTGGTTCTATATCTATGTATATGGATTTATGGAATATACAATAAATAAATGAATGAATGAATGAATGAATGAGTGATGTCAATGTTCTTGTGCTTCCAGTTTTATCCAAAGCAAAATCACATGACACTCTGACAATCAGTTGTGGGATATTCGGCCTGGGCCTGGGAGCTACAATGGTTACAAGCAATATCGTCATGCGTGATGCACTGGAAACCTGGAACCTTGACAAGGTGGATGTAATTCTGGACCTTATGTCAGGAGTGCTCATATTAATCGCTGGGTCTCTTATGGGTAAGTTCAATTGTACTCAAGTTATAAACAGGAGACAGATAACTGGAATATAAACATTCTTGTGAAATTTGTGCCCACTAACTACCAACTGCAGCACAGCACGGTATTTTGTCCTGAGACTTTGCAGGGGGTCAAGGAGAATGATGAATGATTGAATAGAATCACCGCTGGTGATGGAAGTTGGGATTTTCAATATCACCCTGAGAAAAACCTGTAGAGTATGTAGTGGAAACCTCAAGGATCACCCCTAACCCAGTAAATTGCCGATGTCAGAATAAAAACGCAAGGCAATGTTCCTTTGCTTCTTTGGCAACAAGGGAATAATGAGCTGGAAACAAGTCCTACCTGAGCAGACCATCATGCAGAAAGATTTTGCCCAAGTTCTGGAATGTCTAAGACAGGAAGTTCATCATGTGAGGCTACACTTTTTTCCTCAACTAGTGCATCCCTGGACCATGACAATACTTTCCATCAAAGAACCTTTTCCAAATGATCAATTGTATGATTTTGATCCCAGAACACCCTGCTTACTCACCTCTGTGCAACTTCTTCCTCTTCCCTACCACAAAGAATCATGTTAAGGGATCACATTTTAAAACCACGGAAGACATTCTGTATGTTATAATGGTTGTTCTAAATAGCTCACACAGAATGACTTCTGGAAGTATTTCTACAGTTGGGAATAATGCTGTAGTTTTTGTATAGCTGCAGTAGATAACTGCTTTGAAGGAGACCACTGATTTTCGAAATAACAGTTAATACTGCCTGTGACTACAATCTCACTGTTCATTTGTCAGCTCTCCAACATTCCATGTATATACAATCACTTTAAAAATATTATGTACTCCACACAACTATTGCTTTACTGTGCGTCTGTCCAAGTAATGCTTTTCAGAACATTGCAATTGTACAGATTTAATCCTCAAGGCTCAGGACGGCCTCACTAGCTGCTTCACACTGCTTGCTCTTGTCTATTTGGTGACTGGCACTACATGGCTGTTGAGGCCATTAATCACCAGACTGCGCTGTCACCATCATGCATACAGAGTCTGGTCCACCAATGGAGGACATCTTCTGACTTCTGGCTAATCAGCTCATTCAGCATACAGAAATGTCACCATTGCAGTGCTCTGCAGTCACAAAGTAAGGCTCACTCTCCCAGGTTAGTTAATGAATGACACCATTTGGTTAAAGGGCTGAAATAGATGACAAATAATAAGGAGAAGGGAGGGAAGGAATTTGACAAAATATCATATTCAAGTAGTTACATGGTATGACTGAGGAAAATAATGGCTATCCTTAGTTATCACAGTTCATGCTCCAATAAACATCATACCTCCAAAATACAGATACAGAAATTTGGCTGGTGAAGTGGTTAATGTTTTCTTATTAACCTACTCCAGAGGCTGCACACTGTCTGATGATACAGATGAAAGTTATAAGAGAACAGGCAGAAGGGAAGGTGCAAAGCCAGACCATTTAATTGATTAAGTTATATTATCTCCTTCATGGGACTTACACAAATGATGACACACTGATGACTCTTGAACCCAAGATTATATCTAAATATCATGTACCTTTTAGATCACTAGGCTACAATTTTAGTCAAAAAATTGCAGTAATGCTTCTGTTTTCCTCAGTCCTTCCAGATAAATGCTGGTATAACACCTCAAGTTAAGGACTGACCATTGGCTTCAACATCCTTTCTAATTCATCTACACTAATAACCCAACCATTCAATCCTACATTGTCTAACTGCATCTTTAAACAAACCAACCATAAATCACAGCAAATGTCTGACTCCCAAAGCCTTAATTTCAGTTAACTGCTACCAGTGAGCTAAATATATTATATCTTTCTATGTTCCTTGTAAATATGTGTGTAAAAAAAAGTAAGGTATCCCTGTAACAGGCCTTGGAGGCCCATAGGGTTGTGAGATGTTGAGGTTACCACATTTTCTAGACAATTGGCTCATAGATGGTTCAAGGTTGTCAGCCCTACGAGCCGGCGTGGACAGATAGAAATATACAAGACTGTAGTTTTCCTCTTTTGTTCTACAGTAGAAAATATTGTGTCTTACTCCAAGTCAGGAACATAGATGGAGTGTGTCTGAGAATACAGAGTGCTGAGAAAGATATTTGAATATACAACAGATGAAGTAACAAGCAGATAGTTAAAATTGAAGAGTTAGATCATAATCTATACCATTGTAAAATTTAAGAACTGTTAGGTGTTGATGTGCGTGCGCACGCACGCATGCACACACACACACACACACACACACACAAGGGAATGAGAAATTCATTCTGCTTGGGAAATCCTTAAGCAATTGCATTTGGTTTTTATGGATATAAATAAGGACTTTGTATGGGGACTATAATTATGGGAAACCATGAGAATCTCAACATATTTAGCTGAGTTAGCATAATGCTCTTGTACAAATACCAAGTTAGGAATTACGGAAGGAAATCGTGGTTTTAAGATAAGAATGCTGTATGGAACCAACTATATCTTAAATTAAATTTATAAGTTATACCTTAAAACTGCTTGAAAAATGTGGGAAGATGGATTTAGATGCTAAATTTAATAATTTATGGTTTTATATTCAAGTAACTCATTCAACCTTCTTATGTACGACACTTCTTTCTAAAGCCTACTTAAACATATTCCCACATCACACTACATGTTTTGACCGATCTTGGTCATCATCATGCTTTTAAAATTATTGTTGACAATTGATGTGCTACCGTTTTCTATCTTCAGTATTTGATATGTTGTTCCATTTATGTTCTTCTGCATTCCATGGTGATGGGTAGTTCTTCCTATTGTGTTGTGTATCTGTATTGATCTGGCTCAGGATAGGGGCTAATGGAGGGCTCTTTTGAACATGGTAACAAACCTTTGAATTCCATAAAATGTTGGGAAATTATTGGGTAGATGTGAAACTGGCGGCTTGTCAAGAAGGACTTAGATCCATGGAGTTGGTTAGTTTAGAAGAATATCCAGAGATTCAAGAACAAAAATGAAAGGATGTTCCAGTTTTAAGTACATAAGGATCTATCTTCAATAAGACAGGAACAAGCTGCAAAGATGTAGGCAACTAAACAGGAAAGGGACTGGATGCTACTGGAGTGCTAAATTCAGTTATGGAATCGAAACATAAATGCAAAACAAAACTGAATCTTTTTCTCTATTATAGAATCTGGATCATCCCACGGAGCAGAGTCATGAGTGATAAGGGTATACACAAGAAATTATTTGTAAAGAAATATGCTTTTGGAAGATATGTGGAAGAAAATAACTTCAGGATAAAGTTTGGAATGAAGTATTAGAGAAGAAGTTGAAGTAGAAAAGGCAATAAGAATTGGATAGATGAGAAATGACTGATATATTTTTTTACGTGTTTATCGCATCAAATGGAAGAACATCATTTACCATGCCAAACATTGCAATGAAATCCAGTAAGACACTGGAGGATGGGAGGGCAAGGACAGAGCTGAAGTAAGGCTGTGACAGAACAAGCGAGGAAAAAGGCCTATCTAAGAAAGATGTTGATTATTATGAGAGTTGGTAATTTACCATGAGGAAAGAAACTTACAGAAGGATGATGATGATGATGATGATGATGATGATGATGATGGAAGACTATTTTGTACTTTGGTAATAAATGTTCGTGTTGAATAAAAGGAGTGAATCATTGGTCACTTGAGTGACTACCAGTTTCTCAATGAAATATATGCCACATTTGTACCTAGTATAACAATGTATAAGTGGAAAAGAAACAGTGGAAACTGAAAGTTGTCCATTAATATTTTATTTCATTTCCTTCACTTTTCAAACTGTTCCATGTAAAAACTTCCTTAGAGCAAAATAATTTGTGAAAATATGCTTTGTATAAATAACACAATCATGGCCGAAATTATGCTCAAAATTCTGTGAGGTTTGAGAAGCATTAGAAACACACATGTCACCAATTGATCAATACAAATGCAAATGCTCACTAACACCATTCATATTAAATGTGACATGGAAGAATTTTTTCAGATGTAACCCACAGATTATTTCTAAGTCTTGTCCACTTCTTATATCAACTCTGTGCATTACAGTATGAGCTCTCTGTTTATGCATGACTATTCTCCATGCCAGTCAAGTATCTATTGAATGTCTTATTAAATTCATGCCACGATATTTCTGAAATGTGTTAAAAGTATAAAATTATGTATTCTAATATAGTAGTTAGGGAAAATATCGTGACACAGACTGATAACGTCCAGATACATTTCTAAGTGCAAAGTCTCCAGTTGAAGTCATGCTTATATTTTGATAAGTATTTTGTAAGCTGAGTTGGAATATGACAATTGTATAATGTGCAGACTTATCCTACATACATATTAAGTATAAAAGTAAAGAGTGAAACATTTTTGGACCAGATATATCTTCACTTCAGTTTACTAAATTTTGTAAATATTTCTCTATCTCATGTTACGAGGGCACTTGCAACTTCCGCCCTTTGGGGCATTATGATGTATGTATATGTACCACATGTAACATTAAGAAATTCTGCATTTCACCATATAATACATTTAGGCCTATGTGTTTCATTTGGTTCTAAGAATACGCAGCAACTATTCTCCTAAACGCATTAACCTATTTGTCTAATATTATTTAGAAAAATCTGTGCTTCAAATTGTTAATCCATTTCAAGGAATGCATTTTTTGTTTTAATTTCATGTTATTATTTAATTGTAACTGCATTGTATGTCCAAATAATAGCCAATAAAACTTTAGAATATGATATGTGTGCATGTGTGTGTTGTTGTTACTGTTGTTATGTCATTAATATCATACTGTGTCAATATGGGATAACAAAGAGAAAGAGGGATAGATCACCAACCATGCCTACATACTTACATATCCCATGCATGATGTATGATGTATAGAAACTAACACAATCACTTCTATCCATGTTTTTTAGCGTACTTTCCATACATCTTAAATAACAAAAGTTGATGTATGTGTGCTCACCTTGCTTTCTGTGTGTGTCTGTGTTTTTAACCCTCCACCCCAACAAACCTTGAACTTCTGTATCAGTCTTCACTTAATTTGGTATGTATACCACGCCACCTGAAATCGTTTCAATAATATAGCCAAGAAATCCCTCACTTCAGTACTACAAACACTGCAGCCTCTCAGATTGTTGAGGTAGTAACAATATTGTCATGTGTACGGGTGCGTGATATAGATGGAGTATGGATTGGTGTATGGATTTATTGACCACTTTAGCACATGACTCTTGACTCCAGGTAATTACAGAGCTGTCGCTGATCTACATACTCTACAGTTCACCGTTACACGTGCACTAGTTTTCTCTCGTCACAAGTCGTATCCTGGCAACAGATTTAACGCAGTGAAGATTCTTCAGCTTCCGTGGTCACGCCAGACCATGAGCCCATGTGGAGTCGGGTTTGAATACATCCACCATATCCTTGCGAGTAGCAGGAACTGGTTAAAAGGGAACCCAGTGCCTGGGATATAACCGGACTACCCTATTCGCTGGGGATATAAATACGGGGACTTTGTCCTTCCAGGTTGGGGGAGTCTCGAATCTGAGACGGTAAGGCGTCATGAGTCGCGGGATTTAGACCTGAGAATGACTGCGCTGGCGAGGACCAGCAGAAATTATAAATGATAGGCCAATCCTCTCCTCAGAGAAGGTGTTATGTAAGGACTATGAAAGCAAGTTTCCTGTTGAAAAAAAATTGCTGTCTGTGAGTCTGCATGGATTGTCGCCAGTCGTAAAGTAACTCTCTCTCTCTCTGTTCACGCCGTTGTCCTCTCTTTAACACTCCACACCTGAACTCATATCACCATCTTCTCACAACCCAACTCTCCACTAACTGTTCACTTGCAACTCCGGAACTAGACTAAATCTTCTTAAATAAAATCTTTTTTATAACAACTTTGAACGGACCGAATAGAAAGCACCGTTTCCAGCAATACTCATATTGTTGTGTGTTTACCGATCCGTAGCTTAGAAACGGCTTGTTCTATTGCTGAGTGCGTATTCGTTGCCGCGGGGTTGTGTTTGCTGAGCAGCTGCCTAGCAATGGATGTCTCCTCTGATTTCACTGTTTCGTCTTTCAGGTATCATGTCACAGTGCTCCCTCCTTAAGGCTATTTGTCCCGAATAGCTACGGACGTACTGCCATTTCTTCTTCCCGAGGGCTGAGCATGTTTTCGCAGTTCTTCCCATGGCTCGGTTTTTCCGCTGTTTACTCTCCAACCGCTCCCGCGGTTCCCTAATAAGGTGCCAATCGGTCCATGTTTATCACGATCATCAGGCTTTTCCAATCGGTGAAAGCAAAAGTACCTAGAATGGCCGGTGCTCCTACATCTCCAGATTTTACTCTGTGTGCAGCCTCTTTTCTCGTTTCGGAGGGTGCCGAGCCCTCCACAGTATCATTTTTTCGCAAGCCCCTGGAAATACCGACGGCTCTCTTCACGATTTCTAGCCCGATGGTTTTCCCGAAGATCCTGCCGGATGTCCTCTCGCTTCCAACACGTAGCCACTCCTGGAAGTGTCGGTCCCTTATCCCAGTGATACCTTCCGGTTTCGCTCGACGTCTCGTCCCAAGCGTCCGTCCATTCTAGGTTCTTGACACAGCCATGTCCTTGCCTTGTCCCTTACACCAGTATCCCTTGTGCCATACCAATCTATCCCTCTACCGGTGGCGTGCCCTGGGTCCGTATCTTCAGCTTTCCGCGGCTTCCTACAGCTAGATGCCGATTCCCAAACCGCTTCTTCAGTGCTTCGAAAATTTCCATTGCAGCCTCTTCTTTAGGGACTTCCTTATGCACCGCAATGGCGTCCGTCATTAACTTATTCTTGTGAGAGTCCATTTTTCTGAATTGGTGCTCATCTCTTCTTGAATGGCTTTTGTTTCAACCACTAATCTGGCTTCCATTCTCTGTTGATTGGTTCTCCGTTCGTGTCGGTTGGTTCATATTTCAGCCAGCAGGCATACCGTCATCTGCCCCATTGTTTGTTCATCTTCGTAGACTGACGGTGTAATGATCAAAGATCCAAACCAGTATCCAATCCGACCACCTCTGACAACAGAATGTCACGTGTAGAGGTGCGTCACTATAGACGGAGTACGGATTGGTGTATGGATTTATTGACCGCTTTATACGTCACTCGGAACAACAGGCAATACAGCCCTGTCGCTGATCTACACACTTTACAGTCCACCGTTACACACGCAATAGTGTTCTCAGACTTCACTAGTCGCATACTGGCAACGGATTTAACACAATATTATTTGAATACATAAACCGTTTGTCACAAACTTGGTATTTATATCATGCAGTCCCAAGCGATCTTAATAGCTTGCTTCGTAACTTCCTCCCAGCAGCAACATCAACACTTCAGTCCCTCAAATTGTTCCAGTAATAACCTTAATATTACTTGAATGCCTGAGTCGATCATCATGAAATATGGCTCTGGCGACAACCTTACAATTTTTAATTGTATTATTACGTACGCAGTTCTGGTTATATAAAAATTTAGAGTATTTTATTGTTGACTTCATCTTGTATACATGCCAAAGTCTTTTTTCTTACTTGTCATGTCAGAAAATCAAACTGCAGTGAAAGAAATTAGGCGATTACTTCTTCCCATGACTTTTGTTTGTTTGTTTGTTTGTTTGTTTGTTTGCTTACTTGCTTGCTTGCTTGCTTGCTTGAGTGATTGGTTCATTGATTAATTGATTGTGTTCTGTATCTTTGTTTCTAAAGCTACTTCAGTTAATTTTAATTACGTTTGGTAATGTATTCTAAAAACTAATAGAAATAACGTTTCGGAAACTGGGTCGGTTTCCGTCCTAAGGTGAAGAGGTGAGACTCCTCAATCACTGGACAATGAGCAGTGATTGAGGTTAGCTATTTCTAAGGGACCCAAAAAATTAGGTGTCTCCCTCCTCACCTGAGGACGGAAACAGAGCCATTTTCCAAAGCAGTGTGTTTTATACCTTTTAGAATACCAGACGAAGACCAATGCCCAGATATCATTTGGACGACCAAATGAAGGAGGGGCATGTAGGTTCAGCATGAATGGGAGAGTTAGGAAATGCACACAAAATTTAGTCGGAAAACCTGAAAAGAAGGGATCCTTTGGGAAATCTACTCGTAGATGGGAAAGGTAAAGCTATCCTTGTAACAGGCCGTGGAGGGCCATGGTGATCTGAAAATTCGAGGCTCCTACAATTTCTAGGCAATCGAGTCACAGATGGCGGTAAGGTTGTCAGCCTTACGCGTCAGCCGCACTTTACTCCCCGGAAGATTCCTGGTACTCATTTCTGTTAGAGGTTGGGTCGACCCCAGGGCCATAGAACGTCTGGAAGGATTAGGTAAAATTGGGGGGAATCCAATGACTTCATCTGGAATCGAACCCACAACCTTCCGGCTTATAGCGTATTGCCTGAACCAACTATACTACAACGTGCCCCTGGAAATATTATTATAACCCCCAAAAATGGTGGGCAGGATGTGGGCCTGCTTCATCTAGCTCAGGAATGGGTGGATTGGTTCTTGTTAACACGAGAGTAAACTCCAGTTCCACAAAGAAGGCAAGAAATCTCTTCAATAGCTGAGGGACTTCTCAAGAAGTCTGCTGTGGATAGTTATTTTCAACTGTTACCCAAAGTTTTTACCGACATCTGAAAATTTACGTTCACTCCCCAATATTCAAACCATGGTGCAGAGACAAAGTAATAAGTATGCTTTACTTTTCTCATTTTTGTATTGGCTTTGAATTATGTGCATAAAACGAAATCATTATCAGAATATAGTGGTCAACTGCCTTTGCGTCCGTCCACATGTTTCATGTCGGGACCTACTCGACGGATTTCGGTTAAATCTAACAACGGGAGTCTGCACAAAAATCTGCGTATGGGGGAGTAGACGTATAGACCCACGTTTTCTTGACCTCGAAACTAGCTGGAGGTGAGTGGTCAGCTTCACGACCCGACCGCTTTTCTCCCGGGGAAAGATCCCTCGGCGCTCATTGGAAAGGAGGCTAGGTGGGCCCCAGAGCCTGTCTGGACGACACGGAGAAGCACAAATTCTTGACCTTACAGGGAATCGAACTCCGACCCCTCGATCTTCCAGCCAGTAGCAGTCGCTATACCGACTGAGCTATTCCGGCTCCGTTGTCTATATAACTCACTGTATCTCACATACATTTATATAAGTTGAGAGTTGAATCTCCTGTTCATATTAGCTTAATTAATCTTCGATTTTATCATATCTAATTATATGTATATGCCTGTTTAACTTTGGTTAGTTTTACTTCCTGATTCCTGGGGGGAGGGGTTCCTTATAGAGACAACTCAAAATTGTGTTGAAATTCATTCTGTTCTCCTTCCTACACGTGCGATAGGCACGGATATTAAACAAATATACAAGTAGCGCGGAACTCTTTTTGGATATCACTGGAAATTTTTCTTTTAATTTCGCTTAGTGGG